GGCGAGGTAGAGTCCTGCGCTCCGGCGGGCCGGGGGCGGCGCCATGACCTTGTTTCACTTCGGGAATTGCTTCGCCCTGGCCTACTTTCCCTACTTCATCACCTACAAGTGCAGCGGCCTGTGAGTGCGGGGCGGCCGCGGGGCGGGGGGCGCGGGCCCGGACGAGCCCTCACCGCCCGCTCCTGCAGGTCGGAGTACAATGCCTTCTGGAAGTGCGTGCAAGCTGGGGTCACCTACCTCTTCGTGCAGCTGTGCAAGGTGAGGGCGCCCGGAGCCGCGCATGTGGCCCCGGGCTCGCCGGACCCAGACCTCCACCCTGTCCGGATCCCGCTGTGTGGGATGGTCCTCAACACTGCATATAGAAGACGGACTTTGGAAGGGGGGACCCGAAGGAGAGGCCTCCAAGCAGCTTTTGCATAGCTATTTTTGTAAAATGGAGAAGACTCTGTTATATAGTTCTGAGGGGTTTTGTGTGGTTGAAAACCACTAACCAGCAGATGGAGGTGCAGATGCTGCTGGTGGGTGCCAGCCTAGGCACCTCCAGGTCCGACCTTGATCCCCTGTGGTCACCATAGAAAAACTTCCAGGTCTCTACCTTCTATCTCCCTTGGTCCTGTAATCTTGGCGCCCCCTCCCCTCCCAATCTGGTGGTCCTTCTCCACATGGGAACCCTAGAACCATGTACACACTAACTTCCCACAAAACCCACACAGTTTATCCCCCTCACCTTGAGGTGACCTCTGTTTTGTGTTCTCAGATGTTGTTCCTGGCCACTTTCTTTCCCACCTGGGAAGGTGGCATCTATGACTTCATTGGGGTGAGTGGGGCAAGGGAGGGGGGAGGGAGTGCAGAAGTGAGGCCCCCTGGCCTCTGTGCTTACTCAAGCCTCAACCTGACCCACAGGAGTTCATGAAGGCCAGCGTGGATGTGGCAGACCTAGTAGGCCTAAACCTTGTCATGTCTCGGAATGCCGGCAAAGGGGAGTACAAGATCATGGTTGCTGCCCTGGGCTGGGCCACGGCGGAGCTCATTATGTCCCGGTGTGTTAAGCAGCCTGAAACCCAGATTCCTGAGAAAGGACACCTAGGTTTCAGGAAGGTTCTGGAGGGTGGGGGCTGATTCTGGGTGCTGAGGGTTTCTGGGTACTGGAGAATCATTCCCTTTGCCTTTTTCAGTTGCATCCCTCTCTGGGTTGGAGCCCGGGGCATTGAGTTTGACTGGAAATACATCCAGATGAGCATTGACTCCAACATCAGTCTGGTATGCAGTTCTACTCTCCCTTACACACCTTTTTGCTGGTGGCAGTACTCATCCCCAGGGCCTGGTCCTGACTTCCTGCCTCCCTTCAGGTCCATTACATCGTCGCATCTGCCCAGGTGTGGATGATAACACGCTACGACCTATACCACACTTTCCGGCCAGCTGTTCTCCTGCTGATGTTTCTCAGCGTCTATAAGGCCTTTGTCATGGAGTGAGTTGGGTAGGGTTCAAGGCCGGGACCAAATGGAGATGGGTTATCTGTTTTCCTTCTTTCATTGTAATGTTTCCCCGTAGGACCTTCGTCCACCTTTGTTCCTTGGGCAGCTGGACAGCACTTCTGGCCCGAGCAGTAGTGACAGGACTGCTGGCCCTCAGCACCCTGGCCTTGTATGTCGCCGTTGTCAATGCGCATTCCTAGACTTGGTGTCCCAGGCATTCACATACTTTTCCTTGTCTACAGGTTTTAGTGAAGTAAACAGTATTTGGAAAGTTGTTTCCGCCTACATCTCTCTCTGGAACTGTACCAATACCACACTCACTTGCATCCCAGAGGCCCTTGTTCTGGCTTTGGAGCCAAGTAAACAGCCTGGCCCTGGTTTGTCCTGTGTTCCTGAAGCCATTTCTCAGCTCCTTATTTTCCCAGGGTAGACTGAGGGCTTGAAGTGTATATAATCTTTGAGCAGTGGCAAATCAGAGAACAGGTGATAGAAAGGAGCTAGAATCCAAGAGAGGGTCCTTGAGGACTTCTCACAGGCTTAACCTGCCCTTTCCCACACAGGTCCTTCCCTCGCTGTTCACCTCCTAGACACCTGTCCCTAATCTCCTTTCATCCACCCTTTCTATGGCATCCAAGGGGATCTATCTGAAACCCCAGTTTTACTAATTCACCCTCCTTACAGCTATCTAGAGCTCCCCATTGCACACTTCTGGGGCAGACTTCTGTGATTCTGAGCTCCTCAGTACTGTGGACCTCAGATCAAATCCTGGCCTGAGTCTTCTTAGGATGGAGTTCAGAGACAGCTGCAGCCAAATAGAGCTTTTGAGCCCCTCAATTTGGATGTTGTCCTGGATGCCACCCTCCCCATCCCCAGCCCTTCCTTGGTCCAGTGGGGTCAGCTTCTTGCCCCATTTCTTCCCCCTCCCTGAAAGGGATGTCAGAAACAGGGCTTTTAATCTCATGTTTAATCTCCACCTTGATGCAAATCCTGCTCACTCAGGAAAGTGCTCCCCAGCCCTGGTATTCCCAGTGGAATCCCCCAGGGTGTGGGATAGGGCAGTTGCCTGCCCCCTCACTCTACCAGACTGTGGAAGTCCTGCCATAATGTTATTTAACCCTGGGCCTAGGAAAGCACCATTCACAGCTGTGTTCAGCTCTGCTATGGCAGCCTTGGTGTTTTCAGAGGAAACATACAACCATTATCTAGCCCCACCCCCTCCTTGCCCCTACTTAAGACAGGGTCCACAGGTGTCTTGGGTGAGGAGTGGGGAAGTAATTGATTGGTCACCCTGACTTTGACTTGGAAAGGGATTAATGCAGACACTCCCGCAGCCCAGGTAGGCAGATACGTAATGGAGTCACTTTCTCCCATACCTTTATCCAATGCACCATCTAGCTCTTTATACGTATTGGGACAGGTGAAGTTTGCAGAAAGTATTTGACAACTATTCGCTGAGCAGGGACTCTGATTCAGGCCCCCTTCTGGTGCCAGCTGTGAACTAAGCCCAGCTTTCATGGGATACAAACAAACCAGAGTGGTTGGGGTAGAGGTGAGGGGAGGTGGGAGAGGGGGGAACACAGGCCAGAGGGATCGGGGCTTTGATGGGTGAAGCCTGGTTGGAGTGGTAGGATTGATGAGCTAAACTACAGTGATTAGTGCTGTGATGGCCCAGAGGAGCCAGCTGATCCAGACAGGGGCAGGCTGGCTTCCCTGGAAGAGAGATGTATGGGCTGAGACCTGAAAGATGAATTAGTGGGGCAAAGAGGAGAAAAGCAGGTGTCAAGGACTGTGTAAAGGCCTTGAAGTCAGGGCCTTCCCTTTCCAGCAAAGCATAACTGATTGGAATAAGGTCAAGGGGTATTGTGAGAAAGAAGTCAGCAGGGTGCAGATCCCAGAAGGCTCTGAGGGTTGAGCTGAGGAGTTGACTAGGGGCAGTGGGGAACCACAGAGAGTTCTAGGTAAGGGGAAGACAGGGTCAGATTTGGCTTTGGGAAAATCTCTGTGACCACTGTGGGTCGGGAGACAGGCCAGAAGACCAGGACTGGACCAGGACAGGGATGGCAGAAGTAGGAGAGTAGCTATAAGCAAAGTGGAGGTGGTGGTGACCAATAGGCTGGGGGGGGTTTCCCCCATGTAGTAGAGGTTTGGGGAGATGACAGGTGAGGAAGGAGTGAAGAGCCCTTCCCAAGGATTCATCACATTTTCCAAGGAGAAGGAGCCCACCGATGGAACAGTGGATGGGATCAGGTTTGGAGGATGATATAGAGACCTTGGACATGCCAGGGGAGGCTAGAGACAGATGTGGGTGTCACTGCAGAAACAGAACTGAGATGTGGGCAGGGGGTACTGTGGTGAAGAGAAAAGCCAGAGGCCCAGCTAGAGAGTCATTAAAAAGGGAAAAGAGGTGAGAGGGTGTGGCCA